ACGAGCACTGCTCTCCATAAAGACCACATGCAGGCGTGGGCAGGTTGTGGAGTCCACCCCAGGGAAGGAGGTTGAGGGGGCTGATTTTTCCTCTCACTGTGGCCATGCACATGGTGGGAACCTGATGTTATAATGTACACATGGATTACGTCATCTTTGTGCACATAAAATGTATTTCAGAAGAAAAAATATGAACCATTTCCAGCACCCGGGTGAAAGCCAAAGACCTGTGTGATTTGCTCGTGTGTGGGGCTAGTTGTCACCTGCCCGCCCATGCCTTGTATGTTCCAGTGCCGAATCATCTACTGTGGTCTCCTTACCTGTGTCAGATGTAGGTCACCTAAGAGGAAAGGTGCCCTCATCACTGCGCTGCCACCTCCCTTACTGACATATATTAACACATATTAAAGGTGCCCCCGCTACCTCTCTCACTGACATATATTAACACATATTAACACAAATCAAAAGGGTGTATCAGACACATCAGCAATCATAACACTCAGCAACTCAGGGACCCTTGTCCTGGCCCACAGAGGGGTATTTGGCTTATGAAACTCTGCACTTCTATTACTGGATAAATATGGAAAGTATATTTAAAAACGACAATTTAAACCTGGGTTAAGGAGAATTAAACACATCATCCAATTTTGATTCTTCTCAAAACCCCTGTAAAAATACAGGGACTACAGATCATTCTGGAGGGTGAGAATTAAGAGGCCACAATTAATGGCCAGGCCCACGGATGCCAAACCAAAGCTTAGGAAACAGTAGGGTTTATCTGTAGAATCTTCCAGAGGCACTGACTACACTAGGTCTCTCTGGGCCTGGCTGAAGATGGAGGCATGGATGTTGTTTGTAAAGTTCTCGTGCCTGTGTTTCACCTATGACACCACTGGTTAGCGGGAGGGAAGTCAGATTCATCAGGGGGAGTAGTGACATGGGATTAGATGACTACACATAATGCTAAAGCAAGATAGCCACCATCCTTCATCCTGCATGTAGATTCTAGAACTTTCCAGGCATGAGACTGAAGACTCCTGGAAATTCCAACCTTCCTAAGAAGAAAGACCTAAAGACCTTAGAGTCTTCATAAGCCACTGGATTAGATGTGAGTCCACATGTCCATGTGTCCCTCCCACATGCTTCTAACCTTGTCTTGGCCTCATTCTTAATCATGAACAGATGGCTATGGGTATCCTGTTGTCTGAAGCATCATCCAGTGTGGAAAAGAAACCCAAACAAAAAACAACTTGGGGAAATTGACTCTCCAGGGAGAAGAAAACTTCAAAACAAAGAAATAACCCAGAATGTTCTCAAAGAGAAGAGATTGTATTTATGAAACAAGAACAGAATGCTACTAAGAAAGAATGTCTGAAGAAACTTTCTGTCTGCTTTTTGATCTCTGGAAATTAAAAGTAGATGGAAGATAAAGTTGTGGAAATACAGTAGAAGAAACAAAAAGAAAATAGACAGATGGAAAAGAAGGAACAAGTAGGAAATGAGAAGACTGGCTCAGAAGAATCTTCTAAACAATGAGAGTTCTAGGGGGAGAGATCTGAACAAATAAAGGGTGACACTTGATGGAACAATGCAGGGGAATTCCCCAGGACTAGGTTCCAGGTGCTTGACACAGGCCCCATTCTAAGCTCATCTCTGGGAAGTTCCAGAACAAACAATAGTTCCCAGTGAAGATAGAAGAGGCCTCGCCTATTGGCCCAGGAGTCAGATGATAGAGCATCATCTCCCAGTTCTGCAAGACCTACCCTATTCCCCCCAGGTGACTCAGAAGTCACCAGGGACTCCCTATCACCTGAAGCCCAGCTTACCTAAACCCACTGAACACTGCCCCTCCTGCAGCCATTGCCTCAGGCCACCTGATCTTTTGATTGCTCAGCTGAGCTATCTCTGTTCTCAACACCATGTGGTTTAGGCAAATGTAGGAAGGTGGAAATTCCATAAAGAAGAGCAAAGGGTGGGTGACAGGAATATTAGTTAGGCATCGTAGAGGGAGGGAGAGCGGGGTACATGGAACAGCCAAGCCGGAAGAAGCTGTGACTGGCAAAGACCCCCACCATTGGGCGTTAAACCACATGTTTTACATTTGTTTTGTGACCCATTTCACAACTTTAAGAAAAAATATGTAAGAATGAGAAAAGTGGAACCACAACCAGAGAAATAGGGAAGGTGGGAGTAATCTTTGTGTTTTCAGAGGGAGGATAAGTACTGATAAATACACCAACTTACCGTGATGTAACTTAATAATTTTTCAACTGTATGATGGTATGAAGAAGTACATATTCAGTAGAAACTGTATGTCAGAATTTGAATTCCAGCCCCAGACTAGAATGCTGCTAGGGGTGCCCCTGCTGGAAGCCTCCTGGCTGGGTTGCCGTGATTTATAGTCAAAGGCAGTTGGTGGGAGCCATGAATGGTGGACTTGGACAAGGACACTGCAGCTTTCACTATGACACCAATATAGCCTTTAATTTTTACCTAGCAGTTTCCCTCCTAAAAACTTGTATCACAGGCTCACTAGCATATGTATCCAAAGAGGCACATAAACCTTTGTTTCAGAAATGGCCAACTCAATTTTGTCTTAAATAAGGTGACTTACGTTGCCAGAAGTTGAGTCAGTTCAGCTTCAGATAAAGCTTAACCAGCAGCCCAGACAATGTCACCAAGAATCTAGCTTCTCTCCTTATCTTTGCACCATTGTCGGCAATTTTAGCTTTACCTTGGGTTGGTTCGTTCCTTGTGGTCCCAAGATAGTTGCAACAATTGCCTGGCCCCCGCAACCAACAAGAGAAACTGTTTTCCAAAGCACTCCCTGCAAATGGCCAGAAAGTATCTCCAGTGTCACTGGCCCAGGGTCATGGGCCCACTTCTATTTATGAGGGAATGCTGCAGAGGTGGATGGGACTGGGGAGGAGTTGGCACCCTGCTCTCAGGCTCAGGCTGGTATGAGGTGGGACTGACCAGAAATTTGGGTGGATGTGGGAGAGGCCACTACCACATCTTTGTGTCAACAGCTTTTTAAAAACCCAAGTGCCCAGACCTCTCCTGATTTGCCTGCTGCTCCCTTGAGCTGTGTATTTCAGTCGATCTGCTTGTTCTGTTCCCTACTCTGTCTCTGGTGAATCCTCTCGCCCCCCACACCTCTGGCCTGTACCCCAGCTTTTGTATGCATAAATAAATGAATCTTTAAAAAAAAAAAAAAGGGCCTCCCCGGTGGCACAGCGGTTGAGCGCTGGGTTGTGAAGCTGCCCGCAGCCTCTGCAGCGCCGGTTCGATCCCCGGCTGCTCCCCAGCCACCAGAGGAGGGTCCCACATGGCGCGCAGACCTCTCCTGCCGCCTGCTGCTCCCCTCAGCAGTGTACTTCGGTCCTTCTGCCTGCTCTGCTCCCTGCTCTGGCTCTGGTGAATTCTCTCACCCTCCCGCGCTTCTGACTGTACCCAGTGCATGTATAAACAAACAAATAAATAAAACATGCCTCTATAAAAAAAAAACAAAAAACCACAGCTGCCTGTCAACAAAGGATGAATGGATGGAATCAGTCACCCCCAGGTATGACAAGGTGCCACCACCCCCTCTTCGTTTACATCTGTACCCCTTTAATTCGTCAAGTGCACATATCACCCTCCCCTTGTAGAGGTTCCCACTTTCTCCTCTGGGGTCCCTGCAAGTAGTTCTGGGCAATGGGCCACAGGTGAAGCAAGTGTCCATAGATGCTGGAGACCTCTGGTGACCTCATCCTCCTGCCCCTGCAGGTGGCCATTTTTGGGTCCAAATCCTCAATCAGAATGAAGCCCCCAGTGCCTGACAGACACGCACGCCAGCTCTCTGGTGGAGATGTAAGAAATGGGCAACAGAGAGGCCTGGAGATGGGCCTGGGAGGCTGGCCTACTTTTCATCACAGACTCTTCTGTACAGTTTTTTAGAGAATCGCAGTATGTACAGTAACCATGGGGGATCCATTCCAAGACCTCCAGTGGATACCTGAAACCATGGATAGTTCCAAACACTACACATACCATGTTTTTTCCTAGACATACCTATTTTATGGTGAAGTTTATGACACACAGTGAAATCAACAGGAACAAAAGAAGACAATTATATTGTAATAAAAGTGATAGGAATGTGGTCTCTTTCAAAATATTTTACTGCATGGAACCTCTTAAAAAAGATTTATTTATTTATTTATTTATTTATTATTTTATTTTATTTTATTTTTTTTATAGAGGCATGTTTTATTAATTAATTAATTTGTTTGTTTTGTTTATACATGCACTGGGTACAGTCAGAAGCGCGGGAAGGTGAGAGAATTCACCAGAGCCAGAGCGGGGAGCAGAGCAGGCAGAAGGACCGAAGTACACTGCTGAGGGGAGCAGCGGGCGGCAGGAGAGGTCTGCGCGCCATGTGGGACCCTCCTCTGGTGGCCAGGGAGCAGCCGGGGATCAAACCGGCGCTGCAGAGGCCGCGGGCAGCTTCGCAACCCAGCGCTCAACCGCTGCGCCACCGGGGAAGCCCAAAAAGATTTATTTATTTTTAAAGATTTATTTATTTATACAAGCACTGGGCACAGTCAGAAGCACGGGAGGGTGAGAGGATTCACCAGAGCCAGAGCGGGGAACAGAACAGGCAGACTGACGAAATACACTGCTGAGGGGAGCAGAGGGCGGCAGGAGAGGTCTGCACGCCATGTGGGACACTCGCCGGCGGCTGGGGTAGAACAGGCGCTGCAGAGGCTGCGGGCAGCCTCGCAGCCCAGCGCCCAACCACTGTGCCACCAGGGGAGGCCCGCTGGAATATTATTGAACTTGACTTACTATGGGTATCTGAAACCATGGAATTCTAAACCATGGATAGGGTAGACTGCTGTATGATTATTTCAAACAATTAAAATTTTTAAAAAGTGTATTTAAGACATTCACAAATCTCTTAAAATAACTTCAACCCTGTTTTGGCTCATTGGGGCTGGGGAGTGAGGTCAGAACTGAAGAGGAGACATGAACAGGAGAAAAAAAATCTTTTTTATTTTTATTAAATATACTCTCTTGGCACAAATCTTTAAAATATATAAACATTATATATAAACAAAGTGTCTTTATGGCATCAAATGTACTGCAGACCAAGACAAGCAGCCAGTGGGGAGGGTATAATGAGGAGGGTGAGAGCCAGTAGAGTGACAGGCTGGGGCTGGGGGTGGCACTGCCCAGGCCCACTTGGCCGGGAGCCACCTGGGAGGCACACTGGGATCACAGGACTGGGCCACAGGGTACCAGGCCATCCATTTGGTATCATCACTTGGGGTGGGCCTGGTCTCTGATGCCACCTCTTGTCTGGGAGGCTTTCCATCCCCCTCCTGTCTTCCTCTCCTGGGGGCTGAGCAAGGGGGTGGGATGCTCACCCAATAGGACAATCCCCTACGGTCCCCTACAGGTTGCCTGGGCCCTGGGGGATGTTGGAGATGAGAGTGAGGCTAGCTGGTAGTCACATGGGAGGAAGGGCAGAAAGAGGGGTCTTCACACCCACAAGTCCAAAGCAAGAAGAGAAGGCAGAAGGAAGCCAAAAAATGCAAGTCAGGATTAGAGATGTGCAAGGGGCACTCCTTCTCAGATCTTCCATACAACAGGCTGCCCAGCGCACTGCAAAGACCTACCCCCTGGGTGCCCAGTTAGGCTGTGCTGAGAAGAGACCGGGCCAAATTGAAAAACAAACAAAAAAAATATCAATCACCAAATGTCATCAGGAAATGGCAGGCCCCGGGGACAAGATTGGGGTGTGTGTGGGGTGGGGGGGGGGGAAGGGACTCTCCATGAGAAGTTACCTGGGGGTGCCCTGGGGTATCCCAATTTTTCCAGCTGCTCCCAGCTGTACCCTGTCTCTGAGGTTCCCATTTTGGGAGGATAGAGGCTGCCAGTCACCTCACTGAGCTTCATTCATGGATGTGAAATAATCCCACGGGGGCTTAAGTTGCCCCATTTCATGGCCCAGCACTGGCTCAGGTGGGGAGCCAGGGACACGCAAGGTTTCCTGGTTCTCCCCTGGAGCCACTGTGCCTATGGGCAGAGGTTCAGGGGCTAAGGGGGAGCTCCTACCCCAAATGGGACAATCTTGGCACCCAGTTTTCAGCAGAGGGACCCAAGTTGGGGCTCACAACCCAAACCCTGCTGCCTGGAGAAGGCATTACTAACCATGGGTGGCGGGCAGCAGAGGGGAAGAACCACGTCCTCCTGGACCCCACGCTACATACACATACTCCCAGAACGCTGTTCGCAAGTCGGAGCAGGTCTAGGGATCAGGGAAGTCACGGCAGAGGCAGGACAGGGGCGGGTAGGGCAGAGGGTGTGCATGTAGCCACAGCTGAGCCGGCAGCCATTCTGCCCTGGACAAGGCCCGGGGACCCGAGCATCAAGCCTCTTCCCGCATCTCGGGCTCTGCTTCCTGGGAGCACAGACTGGGAGAGGAGAGGCAGGCGGGTGTGGCGAGGGGATCACTAGAACCCAAGTATGTCCAAGGACAAAAGGTACCAGGAGGCAACACTGACCACTCCCTACTCAGGCATGTAGGCAACACCTCGGGGAGGCGGGGGAGGCGCGCGCCCAGAGCCCCTGGCCCCCTGGCCCAACACTGTACTGCAGGGCCTGGCTGTCCTCTTGGAATTGCCTTTCTGTTCCACAAGGCACTCCGACGCGACCCCCAGGGTAGAACTGAATGCACCCTTGCTCCAAGGGCTCAGAAAGCAAAGGGCCAACGTCCAGCACCCACTGCCACTGGTGCCGTCCCCAGAAGGCTCCTAGCTCTGCAGGCGCCGCAGCAGGATCTGCATGAGGTCGAAGGTGGTGAAGCTGATACCCACGGCAATGGGGCCCTTGAGCCAGTTCATGCTCAGGCCCTTGTAGAGACCACGCACCACACCCTCCTCCCGCACAATGGTGTGCAGTGTGTGCAAGATGGAGCTGCGAGGGTGGCCCGTGACACCAGCTGTCTGCATGCGCCGCCGTACCACATCCAGAGGGTATGAGGCCGACTGCCCGATGAGACCAGCGCAGGCCCCAAAGATCATGCGCTCGAAGGGGTAGGGCTGCCGGTGGCTGCTGTACTCTGCGAGTGAGAGCAAAAGGGTGGTGAGGGCGAGGTGAGGTGGCACACCTCTGGATCCTGCTCTGGAACTGCCCCGTGCCCTGTGTCCACACGTGACTCCCAAATCCCATTCTCATACAGGGTAGCCCTGTACCCGTGCACAACCCCCACTGTGTCACCCACCCATTTTTGGACTCAAGTCACGGGTTCCCTACTTCCCCACCTCCCTGTCATGTTTTAATCAAACTTGAGAAATAAAAGCACAAAAAATAACCAAGTCCTAAGATCCAGAATGGGCTTGGTGTCTAATCTCTCCCATTTTCTGTCCAGTAAAGAAAACATCTTCAGAATCTACTCTCTACAGTGGCTCCATTGAAAGGATGCATGGAGGGCGAACATGGCTTTTTTAAAATGTGTCGCTAGCTGTAAATTTAAAATTAGCAATTAAAAATGGTGAGGAATCACGATTCACTCACCAGTGGGCAAAGGACGAAGGCAGCTGACAGCCTGGTGTGGGGTGGGCAATGAGGACAAGGCCACAGGGCAGCACAGCTTCCCAGGAGCAGTGGGTGGAGAGTGAAACCACTTGTGGGGTCTCACACCCACATGAGGAGAGCCCCTACATGTCGATTAATCAGAGAAAACCTGGAAACAGCTAACAGCTCCAGCAGGGGGAGGTGAACCCCGTGGCTGAAATGATAGACACAGCCGCCTGGGCAGAGCTGAACTGACCAGAGTGTAGGTGACTCGGTTCAGTTCCCCTTCACAACCAGCACGCTTCCCGGGGTGCTGCCACCACTCCAGGTGCAGGCGGACGTGTTTCCAGCCTCCCTGTGGTGTGGTCCCTAATCCCGATAAGGAGGTCTGGGGGGGGGGGGCAGGGTGCTAGCGATGTTTTCTCTCCTTAGCAACACAACATCTTGGGGCAAACGAGGCAGGAGGTCACACTTGCTCCTATGGGTTGGCAGGTGTGGGTGATGTTATGCCATTCCCTGTGCTTTTCTGTATTTTTCAAATTTCTCAAAATACCAATACAAGAGGCTCCCTTCATCTTTGCCCACCTGTGCTCACACGCACATGCATATGCGCCAAAGGCTGCCAGCACACTGGGTAACACTGGGCTTTGCCAGGTTGTCCTAAAGCCTAAAGTGAGGTGTTAAAGGTGCAAAGCTGGACTCCTCAGGCATGCTTGATGTAATTAATGTGTCTCTCTAGATAAGGATTTAGGCCCTGCCTGCCCCTCCTGGGGCTTCCACTTAGGAGGTCTCTGTGACCCTGGAAGGGGTCCCACCTACACTCCTGTTACCTCTGTGCAGGCTCTTGAGGGTCTCATAGGTGAAGAAGCTCAGGCCGGCATAGGGGATGACCCCCAGCACAGTGGGCGTGAAGCCGTGGTACAAGGTCTTCAGCCCCTCCTCTCGGGAGATGCGAATGAAAACGTGAAAGATGTTGGCGTACCTGTAGGACAGAGAGATGTGTGGTGGGCTGTAGGCCTGGCGGTACAGGGAGAAATCCCTGGTCTCAAGGTCTCAACTCTAATTATCCCCCTCCCGTGTATGGACCAAGTCAAATTCCCAAAGCCTTGGCCTTGGAGTGGAAAATCACTGGGGTCATGGCCAGGCTTGGCCAGAGTCATTTCTAAGCATGAGTACCATCTAGGCCCAACAGAAAACAAAGACTTGGTTTGCTAGAAGCCAGGCTGGAGGAGCCACAGAACCGCATGCCTGCCTGTTGTGCCGGGCAAGGATGGGGGTAGATTCCCAGCGCAGTGTTTTGTGTAGCCAGGGCTTTCAGAGGGATCCAGTGGGGAGCCCCAGCAGACACAGAGGGCCCATCCCCATGGTGGGACTCACATTTCCTTAGGGGTCACCGCCATTCGCGCTCTGACTAGGTCCAGGGGGTAGGTCAGTGAAGCAGCCGTGGTTCCAGCCAGTGCGCCTGCGAGGAGGCGGGGCCAAGGGGGCAGGGCTCTGAAATGCCGGGGGCCAAAAGGTGAGACCCTGAGACCCAAAGAAGGGAGACCTACCCTGGGGCCCACAGGTCTCAGTCTGGGGAACCGTGGACCTAGCTTCCTCATGGCTGGGTGCTCAGGTCTCTTGGGCGGATGTCACTTTGAGGTCCCTAAGGCTGCATTCCTGCCCCTCCTGTGTGGACTCATGAATGAGGTGTGCTTCCCTACGGACTCTGCGTGCAGTGAGAATCAGAGAGATTGGGCAAGAGGGATGGTGAGGCATGGGTAGGTAATGGGAGAACTCTGAGAGGGTTTGGGGGGCAGGGGCCTCACTCTCCATGGAAGCCATAGTAGCGGCCCAGGACACGCTTGTATTCCTCGTGTGCGCTGAACTGGATGGCGGCATAGGGCACCACACGCACCATGGTGGCCGAATTCCCTCGCCACAGGCTGAGGAAGCCCTCGTTGAGGTAGGTGAAGTAGAGGAGCCGGAAGGCCTCCTGGTGGGAGTGGAAGGCAAGTCAATGAAGCCCCGGACATTCTCTGCACCGGCAGAGCGTGGACCCCCTACCCATCCCTCAGACCCTCCACCATACAGACCCCATCTCCACCCATACACCCCCTTCCCACCCTTTAGATCCCCTCACCACACACATCCCCTTTCCTACCCAGTCTTATTTGTCCAGCCCTATACCTGGGGTGACATTATAGATCCTGCCCCACCACCCAACATTCTCTAGGCCCTATGAGAGAACCCCCATCCCTCACCCTGATTACTGTAAAGTGCACCCTGGAAACCAGGTTAGCAAAGCAGACTCACATCCCAGATCAGTGGGTGTTCTGTTGGTGCCTGTCTGCTAGTCTAGCTTTTAAAAATACTGTCTTTTCCTTGATTAGGAGTGTAACACCTGCTCTGTTTAAAAATAAACCAAATAGGAAAACATGGTTTAGGACATCAAGTTCCTGTCCCAAAGAAATGGGATGTCAGGTTAATCCCTAGGGTGGGCTGTATCCGGACATTCCCAGGGGTGCTGGGACAGGTGGCTTCGGGTCTGCCAGGAACCAAAGGGTGAAAGGAACCTTGAAAGTGCTGTCCCCTCCCCTGCCAGCCCACAGGGCAGATGGTGACCTAGTGCTCACCTTGGCAGAAAATCTTTTTGAAGACACTGGAAAAAAACAGAAACACAGCAGACTGTTAGATGTATAGAATGGGGCCCCAGTATATGTGACCCCCATGGCTGGGGGTCTACTCTGAGTTTGGGGAGTGAGAGCAGCCAGAGAATGTTGTCCACCCCCCGTCCAAGTCGGGCATCTCCATCAGCGACTGTCCCCCGCTCCCCCTCCTGTGGGAAACTCTACCTACCACCTCTAAGAAGAGGAGGGTCTCTGCAGGGCTCTGTGGGGGATGTGCCCGGGGGGATGGGTGTCAGTGCTCAGCACCCCCACTTCAGCAGACTCCAGTTTAACCAAATCCCTTTGGGGAAGCCATCCCAATTGCTGTCTCCTCAGTCAGGGGGTTCCTCTCCCTCAGGATGAAGCAAGGGTGTCTAACTCTGGTCTCCCTTTTCTCCAGGCCTCTACAGATAACCTAACCTCCTCTGCCATCCTCCATGACCGCCCGGCTTGTACCTTTCCAAGATACACCTTGCCTCCAGCTCTGCAGTCACGGCGGCACCAGAACCCACTGGGGTTTGGCAGCCTTCCCATCCTCACTTCCCACATCCGCCCTGTGTCCGGGGCACCTTGCTCTTTGGTGGTGGCGTACTCTGCCTGGGTTAAATCCAGCTCCCAGCAGGGTGGCAGGGAGCTGCTCTTTCCTACCTCACTCAGTCCTGGGGAGGAAAGTTTTATGATGAGGAAAGTGAGGCGCAGAGAGGTGAGGGGACCAACTCAAAGATATGGCGAGGGCCTGGCTTGTGTCTGCTTTCCGCTCCTCCCATACAGCTGAGGTGCAGGGGCCTTGGTCAAGGTGGTCACCATCTGCCAGATGGAAAGGCCTCATCTTTGGGGACCTTGTGCCCTTGAGGCATAGGGAGGTATTTCTTGAGCTGTGCCCCAAAAGATATAGCCACACCCTCATTCCCCAGCACTGGTGAATGTGATCCTCTTTGGAAACAGGGTATTTATAGAAGTAAGCAAGTTAAAATGAGGTTATGTTGGGGTAGGATGGGCCCTCATCCAAGGACATTGGTCCTTCCTATAAGAGAGGAGTCAGGGACTGGGGAGATAACAGCCACAAGGCAAAGACGCCCCAGAGCATGAAGAAGGCTGGCTCCTTCCCCCAGAAGGAACTAACCCAGGGGACACCTTGATTTTGAACTCTGGCCTTTAGAATGTGGGGGGATAAATTTCTGTGTTCTCAGCTACCTAGTGTGGTCTTTTGTATGGTAGTCCCGGGGCACAAATACTTTCCTTGTGGATCTTAAAGAGGCATTAAAAAAAAAATAATTTGTATTAGCTTGGAGACTGGAGGAGGAGGTGACCACCTGGCAGCTTCTCTATTGCAGGGACAGACACACAAAGAGCATTTACCTTGGAAGATGATTTTGGTTCGGTCCAGGGGGGCTACTGCTGTCTTGGCAAGAGCGCCCGCCAGTGCCCCAGAGAGCAGAGAGCTGAGGACCTGCCTGTGGTCTCTCTGCAAGAAAATGCAAGATAAAATCTTCAGAGAGGGGGAGGGAGCTCTGGCGGGATGGCACCAGAGGGTATTCTCCCCGCACCCTGTCCAGGGCCTCCTTCCTTCTACTCTACCCAGGGTCTCAAAGTGCAGTGGCCAGAAGGTGGCAGCCCTGTTGGGCTCTGAGTGGTGGGGCAGAGGCCCAGTCCACATGGGAGGCAACTGGATGTCCCATGAGCTTCCAAGTTCCTGCAGTTGCCCAAATATCAATATAAGTCAGCCCACCAAAGCGTAAACTTTGTCCCCCACCACCCCTGCCATGTATGTAGGGCTTGGTGATCTGGTATTTCAGAGGGACGTCTTGAGGACCCTATGATGGGGTGGGGGAGGAGGATAAGGGGTGTCAGACAAGCAGAACCTGACTGTGTCTACATGTCCCTTTCCAGAGTTTTCTATCAGGACTTCAGGGGCAGTGTCTTTGGCTCCTCATCCAGCCAGTGGGGGTGATGAGATAGGGGTGCAACATGGCCTGCTCCATAGCCAGCTCCCCATCAGTGCTTTCCTATGTCTTTTTGAGCTCCCTGGCTCCCCTGCCTCCCAACAGCCAGTCTTCCTTCCTTTCTTCTTTTCTCTTTGATGTCCAATAGAACCCTGAGGGGTCTCACAGGAAGTCACCTACCCTTCAGGTTGGGATCTCCATTCCTCAGTGACTTAGCCACACAACTCTCAGGGCGCAGCCTCAGGGAACATTCTGGAATGTTCTGGACTGGAGGTGTTCCCATCCCCCCTCACTCCGAAATGAGCAAGCATGTCGAGGGGCAAGCAATTCAATGATCCCTGAATCTGTGAAGTCAGATTCGGACCAGGCACCCTGAGGGGCCTAAGGGGACACAGTGCGGAGTGAGGGTACATTTGAGCACTTCCCCATCCCCATCGGACCGCCAGTTTTGGGGAGAGCCAGAGATGAACTGTCAGACATGCACACAGTCACTAATCTGGAAGGAGCTATGAGGAGGGGGCTTAGGGTTCTAGAACTTGGGATGGGGGTGAGGGGTAAGGTTGAAGGATCTGGTGCAGCTCATTGGGTTGGGTATATGATACAGTATTAGATGAGAGGGAGCAGAGGGTCCTGGAGGGCCACATAGAAGGGGGCTGACAAAGAGATACAGAAAATGGGGACACAGAAAAGAGAGATATGACAGGTGGGTGGGCACCCCCCACAGAGCTGGGGGGGAACTGCAGCGAGGAGGCTGGCTTTGCCCAAAGAGAGATGGAGAAGCATGGAAGGTGGGGGCGGGGGGAGGCGGCTGCTGCACTTTGGCCATAACTGTTTTGTGCTTTCAGGAGCAGGGCACGGTGACCTGCACAGGCCAGGAATGCTCATCTTCTGCACCAGGGAGATGGGCGTTCCTGTGTGAGCTCCCCAAAGCAGCTGGTCAAGTGGACTAATGCCCATTGTGCTGGCCGCACTGGAGGGAAGTGGGTGTTGTGTGCATTCTGGGACCCGTCCAGCTGGACAGCTCCCTGGGCTCTGCCGGGCAGCACTGAACTGGAAGGGACAGATGCACTGCTCTGGGACTCTGCCCCGCTGGCCAGAGAGCTGGTAGCCATGGTCCCATGCACTGGCCTGAGAACCTGCTTGGCCTTCATGGTGCGACCTGGAATTTGGGGAAAGGTCAGGAGTGTTGGGAGGATGACACAACTCAGCCTTTGACCCTGTGGACTTTGAGAACTGCCCGTGGGGCCCTGAACAGGCAGGCCCTGGGCACAGGATGGCCCTGGGCACAGGATGGGTTTCCACCGAGGACTGGGTCAGTATGTGCTCCAGGTTTCAAGGGAGAACCTCCACCGACTTCGGTGGTGAACAACAACATGGCTGATGTGAATCTTTAAGATAGTATCTATCCTTTCTTCCATGGAAGGGCAAAAGCCAAGATACACTTTAGAACTGATATCAAACACCCCCATACCATCCAGTTTGGCTAATTCTCTCCAATCCACAAATCTGAGAGAAAAGGGGTTCAAGAGCACCTTGTAACATCCTTGCCTATTTGGGATGAGGTTTGGGCTTCCTGCCAAATGGTCTGGTGGGCTGGATTCACATCACAAAGAAGGTTGGAGCAAATGAAGGAGGGCAGTATATTTGCCCCCACCCACAGCCTTGTAGGGATTTTCCCTCAGTGTGTATAGGAGGGGGTGATTTGTAACAGGGGCTCAAGGGGATCCCGTGACAAAGTCCATCACCCACCGGGGAGGCAGGGTACTTGCCTTTGAAGAGACGGGTGAGGACAGGCCGCCTGCATCCTCATGCACACGCACCGAGCCTTCCTTCACACCATTACCCATTCCAGGCCCGTGGGAGGGTGGGAGACTCGGTCCTGGGGAGCAAGAGGGGTGGTGAGACTCACAAGTCAGGGGGCCTCCCCCTCCTTCCTCCACCTGTCACCTAGTGAGCTAGTAAATGAGTTGCTTTTTCTACCCTGGCTTCTGTCTCCCTGAGGGGGAGGGACGGCAACCAGAAGCCAGGGCCTCTGGCTGATCCCTGATGGCTTAATCATTTATAAAAGCCTTTCTTGGGGGCCTCCCTGGTGGCGCAGGGGTTAGAGACACAACGCTATCAAGCTATCGCCAGCCACTGCAACAAGAGTTCAATCCCCTTGGCCAAGAAGCTGACCCACATGGCGCAGCAGACTCTCCTGCCTTGCCCGCTGCTCCCCTCAGCAGTGTATTTCAGTCGGTCTGCCTGATCTGTTCCCCACTCTGTCTCTGGTGAATCCTCTCACCCCCTGTACCTCTGGCCTACACCGTAGTTCTTGTATGTATAAATAAATATATTTTTTTAAAAGCTTTTCTCATATTTGGTATTTGACTTTACAAATGCGTCTGCGTTGCTGTTTTTTTGTTTTTTTTTTTTAAAGATTTATTTATTTATACAAGCACTGGGTACAGTCAGAAGCGCAGGAGGGTGAGAGAATTCACCAGAGCCAGAGCGGAGAGCAGAGCAGGCAGACTGACGAAGTACACTGCTGAGGGGAGCAGCGGGCGGCAGGAGAGGTCTGCGTGCCATGTGGGACCCTCACCCTGCGGCCGGGGACCGAACCGGCGCTGCAGAGGCTGCGGGCAGCTTCGCAACCCAGCGCTCAACCGCTGCGCCACCGGAGAGGCCCTGTTGCTGTTTTTGTTGTTGTTTTTCTTTCATTTTTAAAAAAAAAATTATTTATTTATGTATAAAAGAGCTGGGGTACAGGCCAGAGGTGTGGTGGGTGAGAGGATTCACCAGAGACAGAGTGGGGAACAGAACAGGCAGATTGACCGAAGTACACTGCTGAGGGGAGCAGCGGGTGAGTCAGAGAGGTCTGCTGCACCATGTGGGTTGCTCCCTGGCTGGCTGGAAATCAAACTCATGCTGCAGTGGCTGCAGATTGCTTCATAAGTTGCGTCTTAATCCTTGTGCCACCAGGGAGGCCCTGTTGTTGTTGTTGTTTTTAACTAGTACCACCCAGGCCGATGGGCGCAGAGAGGTTAAGCTGCCCAGGAGATCACACAGCAGAAGGCAGATGCTTGGAGGCTGGAGGGCCCTGCCTACCAGGAACCAACCGCCCACAGGACTTATGTCAGTTTGGACAAGCCTCCGCCCATGGAAATTTAATCTGTATCTTACTGCATGGCTGCCTGCTCTAGACCAAGTTTATAGAAAAGGTCCCAAATACTTGAGGATTCTTCCCTGGAAACCTCCATTTAACCTCCCAGTGGAAGCAAACCACAGTGAGGATCCCAGGAAGAAAAAGGTTGGCAATGTCCATGAGACTATCCAATTAATCAATGTACTTCCCTGTAAAATGATGGAAATGATGTACCCTGAGTAGGCACCCACACCTACACAGGTGAGAAAAATTCTGGAAAGCATTTTTCTTGTTCTCTCTCTCTTTCCTACTAACTAACATGGGCCTTGGCTCAGAGAGGCTGTTTCCCTGATGGAGCAGGAGACAAAATGATGAGCCTGTACACCCTGAGGTGCCGGAGACTCACCCAAAACCAAGGGAGAGGATTTGACAATGGACACGGAGACCACATCAAGAGCTCCCAATGGGGAAAGCTGCAACACTCTGAACTACAAGCTCAACAAAGCAGTACTGGAATACAACCCAGAGTGTCAGCTATCTGAGTCCACCCTGATATAAATAATTGTACAGATAATAAAGAGAGACGAGCAAACCTCCCAGAAGAGCAAAATTTCTAGAAGAATCCCAATAATTTGCCCTGGAAGAGGAGAGTGGGACCCCTGCCCTCAGGGTCTGTGTGCTACAGGACAGAACGAGGGGCACTGCAGAACCTCCAAATCTTCCTGCTCTAAATGGGTTCTGCCATCTGCCACATGAAGACAACACATACTCTAATGTGTAAGAGTAATGTCTTCGATAAAAAACGGCTTTAAGAGAATTAGTGTGCAATAAAGAGAAGAGAAAGAATATAGTTCCCAATCAAGCACCCAAAGTTACCCAGCCAAAAAGGATTGGCCCAAAGCAGGGCAGCTAAAGCCCAAAAGCTTGTCATAAGTCTAAGGCACCTTCTAGGGGGGACCCATAGGAAAGGGGCAGAGGGGCCAGGCAAGTCTGGGAGAAAAAGAACAAAACCAAAATATAAGATAAAGGCTGCCGCTGTCAGCCTCCCCGCGGGTATCTCACCCACACCTCTATTTCTTTTAAGTGTCTCCTTCCATGTCCCCCAAGTTCCTGGTACAAGTCCAAAGCAGAGAAACAAGTGTGGCTTCTTCTTCACACGTCTGCTCCCTGTGCCTCCTCCAGTTTTCCCCTTATCTCTCCATCTCTCTCCACTTCTTCCTCTCAGTCCTCTTCCTAGTCTCTTGCAGCTTCTTCTCCCTGCCCAGCTCCACCCTTCCTCGGGTGAGGCAGGGAATCTGAAACATCCCCTTCCACGTCTTTCACAGTTACACAGGTTCCAGAACTTCCTTCCAAAACTCAGGGCATGGCAGCGGGGGGTCCCTTTACAACAGAGACACCTGACAGATGCCGCTCAGCCAGGTGCCAAGGCCCCATCAGTGACAATCATGCTGAAGACATGTGCCTTGGACACTGGCGAGAGGATACCTCACCTCTCTGGCCCCCCAAACCCATCCAGTCTGTTCAAACACCAGGCAAACCATGATTAAGGGCATCCCACATACCCCTAACCAGGTCTCCTCAAAATGTCAAGGTTGTCACAACCAGAAGGTGAGAACCCAAGCTGTAATAGTGTAATCCCCATAGAAAGGGGAGGTTTCAGGTTCCCTGCCTCACCCAGACAAGGGTGGAAGGAGACTTGGAGGAACCAAATGGACTGAGAGTGGTGAAGGAGAAGCCACGCTTGCTTCTCTGCGTTGGACTTCCACCAAGGATTTGGGAGACATGCACGGAGACATTTGGAAGAGATGTGGGTGAGAGACCTGTGGGGAGGCTGACAATGGCAGCCTTTATCTTGTCTTGTAATTTAATTTTACTCCTTTCCTTCCAGACTTGCACGGCCCCTTCTGCCTCTTTCCTGTGGTGCCTTAGGCTGTGGCAAGCTTTCAGGCCTCAGTGGCCCTGCCTTGGGTCAACCTTGTTTGGTTGGGTATTTACCCACGAGGGGATGTGTAACTTGGGGTATTTAGTTGGAAACTATTATCCTTTCTTCTCTTCTTTTTATTGCACACAAATTCTCTTAAAGTTGTTTTCTATTGAAGGTCTTATGCACTAAGACCATGTTTTATCATTATGCGGTAGATGGCAGAACCTATTTAGAGTGTGCAGGTTGGGGGGTCTTGGGGTGCTCCTCAGCCTGCCTGGTAACAGGTTCAGCCCAGAGGAACCTGAGGAGATAAGACGACAAATGTGAGCGGATTCCTGGGACAGAAAAAGGACATGGTGGGGGGCCTCCCTGGTGGCACAAGGGGTTAAGATGCAACCTATGAAGCTATCCTCAGCCTCTACGACACAAGTTCGATTCCCGGCCAGGGAGGTGACCCACACGGCGCAGCAGATCTCTCATGCCTCGCCCACTGCTCCCCTCAGCAGTGTATTTCAGTCAGTCTGCCTGTTCTGTTCCCCACTCTGTCTCTGGTGAATCCTCTCACTTCCCACACCTCTGGCCTGTACCCCAGTTCTTGGATAAATCTTTTCTTACCCTCCCCTCAAGGGGAGGGTAAGAACAAAGAAGGAAGGAAGCGCAATGGACTCTGGTGGTGGACTAGTGGGGATTAAGTGATGGGCACATTAGAGTAGCAATACCTAAAGGGGTATTCAAATATTACCTCATTTAAAAATAAATAATTTTTTTAATAAAGAAAAAGGACATGGGAGAAAAGTGGGTTAGTCTGAATAGGATATTGGCTTTAGTTCCTAACATCTTAGTATAGGTTC